TAATAATATATAATTACTAATATACACTAGCCTTTTATGAATTGACAAAAATAACAACTGATGGTGTATCTTTCATCCTCTTTCTACTAATTATATTTGCATAAGAAGGAAGGAGGCAACTGTATGATTTACAACTTTTATTTTATCATTCCTTCTATGTAATTCCTTGTTCTTAAGGTAATGTAGATACCGATCCGACATCTATATATTAGGTTTCTCTGGACATTGATGGCGGGAAAAAGGTCATCGCCCATATCGTTCAGGCAAAAAACTGATTGAAAAAAAAATAAAGAATATTCGTATGAAGATCACAACGATCAAAGATAACTGGCGGTCATTAACTGTATCGTTAATTGTACAGAATTCATGGGAAAACAGTCGTTAAACTGAATTCTGTAGGCAAACGTGTTAACCTAATTTTAGGTATTTTAATAATCAGAGCTTGTTGTTGCCTAAATCAGTTTTTTTTTTTTTCTTTTTAACTACTTGAGCTTAATATTTCATCTTGTTTTATTATTGACTGGAATTGTAATTCGATTTTTGTTTAAAAAAAATTAAATCTAATATCCTACCATTACTGTCGTGCGATCCCGGCATAGAATAGGCCACTCCTTCCTTTCCCGTATGTGTCGTGAGAGCCGCCTAAGGCAGGGCGAGGGATGGGCAACAGCGTCTCTCTTAAAACATGTCTAAAGCCTAACTGCGGTTGCCAATCTACCTGCCAAGCGTGGCAACTACTGGCAACCTTGATTGAATTATAATTATTTATCTCTTCCTATAAATTATATTTATTACATTGAATTCACTTATTATATTACAAGTACTTAGTAAGTAAGCCTGCGGAGTGAGGCCCCGGTGAGCTGTAATACAGGTATTCTTATACCTATCTCAGGCACCAGTCTCTCACAGTTATATTTATAATTTGATTACTTTAATATAAGCATGTTTCATTGTATCTCATTGTATCTCACTGTGATAAATTGTGAAGAGAAATCTATTTATTATTATTATTAACCCCCCCCCCCCGGGGGAGGCTTATGTTCAGCAGTGGACAGTTAACGGCTGAAATGATGATGATGATGATAGCACACGTAAATTAAAGAGTACATGAGAATTACAATTATTCATAATTCTCACTTCACATGTACAGAACCCGTGTTATACGGTACTTTAGAACGCGTATTTCTACGGACTTGTTATTTTATAGGAAACGGATGAAAATGGAATGGTAACCCCGCCTGCGCTAATGGGATACGCTGGCGGGGCACCAGTGAAGGGTGAGCGATGAGGATGAAAACAGGCCAGTTAGCCCATCATGATGAATTCATCTGGGATTAATCATGATAGTTTCCAGGGGGAACCGCGAGGAGGTCGACCTGATATAGGCTAGCAATGGCGTTGCTAATCCCCATTACTAATAATCCCTTCTCCTTCCCATACATGCCACTGGGACACGTGTAATGAGAATAATCTGGTAACTGACCTATTTAATCCAAGGTCAACGAACGAAACCATCGAACATAGCTATAAACTAATGACAACGTTTTAGCTATCAGTCATCAGCTCATAAATCATCGTAGGTATGGTTAATTATCATTAGCACTTGTTTTTTTTTTCTTATTACATTTTTGTCTCTCTATTCTTGTCTGTTTATATATAATAATAGATAGATAGATATACTTTATTGTTTCCTCCAAAAGATTACAACAGTAAACTTATTATAGATATAAACAATTACAAGAAATGATTACACTGAGAAAACAATGGGCGACCTTATCACTAAAAGCGATCTCTTCCAGGCAACCTTTGGATGGAGAGGAGTAATTATAAACAGTTTGATTAGATGTACGATGATCTCTTATGTCAATTTTCCTTAAAAATTTTCAATGTACAGACTGTCTATTAAAAAAGTTATAGAAAAAGTTTTATTAAATTATTAAAAATTATAAAAATTCGTATACAAAAACATGAAAATTTTTAATACAAACATAATTTAATACAATAATAAAACAAATAAATAAATTTATTTATTTATATGCTTTTATATATTAACTTTTAATTTTATTTTATTATACTATTAAATATATATATATATATATATATATATATATATATATATATATATATATATATATATATATATATATATATATATATATATATATATGTACAACAAACGGCCATAAATTAATTGCAACTAAATAGGGAGCTTCTATTTTATGACGTCAGTTAAAATGGCAGCTGCTGTGCCTTACGACAGATTAAGAGGAACATCTTCATTGGGATGCCTTTAGTTTTTGCTACCTGCCACTAGTGGCACCACGTGTACAGCACAATTGAGGACATAGGACTCTTGATGCAATGGAGTCGAACCGCCACAAACTTTTTCTTTTATTTAATCCTTATTCTGTACCCAAAATTTATTTTATGCAGTAACGTTCCTAAGTTCTGATATAATCGATTGTGAAAATAATTTATTAATTACCAGATACATCTTATAATATCATCATCATCATCATTTCAGCCATTATCAGTCCACTGCTGGACATAGTCCTCCCCCATAGACTGCCATAAAGAACGGTCCTGAGCCACCTGCATCCACTAACTCCTTGCAATCTTACAATATACACACAAAAAAAGAAAACAATCGATAATTTGTTGGAAATTACTTCAAAATGTATTTAAAATTTTCATGGGAACTACTAAATGTACACAATCTGGGGGAAAGGGATTGTTAGCAATGGAGTTTCAATCCAATATGCCCTATTAGGTCGACCTCCACGTGGTTCCCCCTGGAAACCATCGTAAACAATTCTCGTTGAATTCGTCACGATGGGCTAACTCACCTGCTTTATCCTCACCTATCATCCTTCACTGGTGCCCCACCGGTGTATACCGTTACCGCGGGTGGGGTTACGATTCCATTATCGTCCCATTAAAAAAAAAATGTACACAATCGAAAAGAAGACTTCTCCAAAGCCACCTTTGTTCTGTTAGCAACAAAAACACATTGTTTGCCACGTGTTGCGCGTTAAACGCCCGCTGAATGCTAAAAGGATCTGGATTCGAATCCTCACAAAGGCGTGTACAGACCTTGGCACCCCTTACAGAGATAATTGTACACATTCTTGGCTACATAAAAACTGGCCCACTGACGATTAATGATTGCAAATCATGTCTATACACCATCATAGATGACAAAATAATCATCAAACTGGAAAATAACTAATAAAACTTTCAACCGCATAAAGAAAAATACCATAATTATTAGCCAGCCATATAATGTGGTTATTTTATAACAGATTTTGAAAGGAGAAGGAGCTTTTCAATTCGTTTGGACTTCTTTATGTTTGTCACCTCATAACTCAGTCATTAATAAACCGATTTGGATAATTCTTTTTTTATCTAAAAATATATATTCTCAGATTAGTCCAGTAGAAATTTTATCAATACCGGTCCAGTAGTCCACGCTTGGGAACTGCAGTTACGATTTAGTGATGTTATAAAAGGCGAATAATACTCTTATATATGTAAATAATAACCGTGTGGTCCCGGCATAGAATAGGCCAGCCCTTCCTATCCCGTGGGTGTCATAAGAGCCGACTAAGGGAGTGCAGGGAATGGACAGCAGCGTCCCTCTTAAATCATCTCCAAAGCCTACGGTTGCCAGTCCGCTTGCCAAACGTGGCAACTACTGGTAAAACCCCCAAGAGGGAGGCTTATGTTCAGCAGTGGACAGCTAAAGGCTGATGTGATGATGAGATGTACATAAATGTAAATAAATAAATACGGTACGGAGGCATAACATATTACTCCTTAGGAATGCTCAAGCATGGGAGGCACCATGGATATGGCACAGTGTATTCTGTAATATTTACTATAGGTACCGTTGAAATTTATAGATGGCAGTTGCCATCTTCTATCAGGTGGATCCTCAACTCGTTTGCCATTCTACCTTGCGTGAAAAAGGTAATAATAGAATAAGGTAGAGACTGACATTTGGGAATGGTTTCTATATATATAATTTATTTAATTATTTATTTAACACTTTATTGCACTAAGTAAAAAGAGAAATAACAAATATAGGAAATATTAATGAGAAGTGATACAAAAGGCGGCCTTATCGCTAAGCAATCTCTTGCAGACAACCTTTGGGTAGAGGACATTGAGTAAAAGACAAAGGGTAGGGTTTATATAATAGTGCGCCACACTATTATATAAATATTATCATATACAAACACACACACATATATATATATATATATATATATATATATATATATATATATATATATATATATATATATATATATATATATATATATATATATATATATATATATATATATATATATATATATATATATATATATATATATATATATATTATAAGAATTTTGTAAAAATAGATCTAACTATTGATGGAAAGTAAATTAATGATAAAAGTGTATACAAAAATATAAATAATTAATGAAGCCGGAAAAATTAATGAATACGCGCGTTCTCTGCGTAAACTCCGAAGTAATGAGTTTTAATAAACTTAATTCAAATTTGATACCTTTAAAGATTTGTTTTAGTCACTCTGTATAGAAAATAAGTGGCTCAGTTAAATTTTGTTTTAATTTAAACTATAACTGTAGAACCAAACTGAAACAATATGTAATTACTTTGCGTCTATTAAGTAACGTAACTCATTAATGTTTATATATAATTAAATATATAAAATTATAATTATATAATATAATTTTTTTAAACGTTTACAGCTAGCTAGTTATGTCACATGGGCATGACAACAAAGTGATTAATAATATAAATCTGCTAGGTGGCGAATGAGACTGTCGGTCCGTTACCGCCGCCGCGCCGTAACACTTCTTTCGATTCGCGTTATCGCGCCAAAAACAATACCAGGAATAGTGAGTCACATTTGAATATGAAACTAATTACGTTTTCATATACCATAGTTCTATATTTAATTATATCTCAAAATAACATCGACTTACCAGATTCTAGGAACGTATCTTTCCTGCACGCGCATCCACTTACGGATTGTCACAGGTTTTAACTAATTGTTTAATTGATAAAGCACGGAAAATTCAATATAAATAAGCACTGCTCACAGTCACTTCAACACGGTTTCGAATCGCAACCCGTTGAAACAGACAACTTACGGAGGCACGCCCTCGAGACGACCGCACGGAGCGAGCTTTGAAAGGAGACTGAAGCGTTGAGCTTTCAGCGGTCGTGCGCGTGCGTCGCTTTCTCGACAGCAATTGAGTGTCACATATCTGTCTCTTTCTGTTGTACGCGTATTGCGGTAATTGCTTTATCGCCGCTCGTGTTCCACTGTATGTTCGTAGTGAAAATGAAGAAAACCCGTGTGACGTAGTGGTTACGTAAGAACGTCGGGGTGCATCATGATTTATTTGATCTCTTGATTAATGATTTTTCCCATTTCGCTTTATTTTTATTAATGTTTTATTATAATTGACGTAACGGCACACCGGGGACTTTTTCTTTAATTTGATTAATTTATGCACTTCACAAAATATACATTTCATATATAATTAGAGGAATTCAGTGATTTATAATTGTACTCCTGTTTTAAATGTTATGTCTGAGACTTTATTATTATATACTGGCTTGCAGTATCTGTGATTTTTTTTTTAAAGGTGGAAATTAAAATGGAGTTCTTTTATGGTATAACAATATATTAGAATTTCACTTTAGGATAAAAATGATAAAATATACGTACATAGTAAATACCTATTTCAGTGATAGGAATTTTAATTGTAAATATTGTTTATAAAAATGTAAATATGTTACCAATGTACACCCTGTAGCGAATATATGCAATGACTCCCATCAAGCTGACCTTGATGTTTGGACTCAGTTATAATCGATATCGTAGATAATTGTATAAAATTATTTGAATAATCCAATGTTTAGAAGTTTGAGAAGCTTAACTTTCTTTTTGTTTTTTTTTTTTATTATATGTTATTATTGTATGTTTTAATTTTTATCACAAATTATTGTTAAAATTTTAATATAAAATTATGTTTCTTCCTTTGTTGCTACCGAATGGCTTTATTACACTTCGATTTGCGTGATTTTTTCTTGTGGCAAGTTTATTTTAACAATACATTGATATACTTGCATGTTATGTTTTATGTTTATATTTGTAAACTTCTGTTATGTGCGGTATTATTATTGTAAAATAAAATAAATTGTAAATGATGTCATTGTAAAATAATTATTTCACATTTAATATGTGAGAGCTGTATACACCTTTAATTGATATGTTCATATAGCCTTAATAATTATTTCACATTTTGATATTTTACTTATTCATAACATTGTATAGTTAAATTAACATATTGTTGGGGTGTCTTTTTTTTTAAATAAACATATATTAAATTACTTTATAAAAACAGGATTTTTTTTCTAAACCAATAATCATACGTAAAAATCTTCAAAAAAAAGTATCAATGTGTGAAATGTATTACAATATGTTGGTCTAATTTTGTTACCAGTAGCAGAGAACTATTCATTCGCGTTATAAATAAGACATTTATTGCGGAAATCCTTTCTATCGAAGAAGGAAACAGACTTTTTAGAGTAGTGGGTACGGTCAGCAAAAAATAATATAACATATATTCGTGAAATTAAATTTTTCTTAATTAGAAATATATAATTTTTGCTTACATTATTGATGATTATAAAAAAGATATATTAAAAAAAAATAATGTCTTCCATTGTAAAAATATACACCAATGAACAATGAGATGTTTCATAGACACATTAGATTGAGACACGGAATTGTATACCTATCTACAAGTAGATTTTGTTTCCCAACAAACAGTATCTGCAAAAATGACATTTTCAATGATTACAAAATTAATATGAACAGACACGATAATAAAGCCAAACGACTGCAAAAAGAATCATCGAAATCAGTGGGATTACTCTTGTTATAAGTTCCTACAGATCGATATTGGAATTGAAACATTTCACACACACAAATTACAATACTAGCTCCATAATGTTATAATATTGTTCAACACGTTTCACCGTTATTTATATTTTCTGTTATTCCTGTCTACGATCGACTGGTAAGTAACGCCATATGGTGTTTTTTTTTTTATGGATGAAAATGGTTTGGTAACGCCGCTTGCGTTAACGGGATACGCTGGCGAGGCACCAATGAAGGGTGATAGATGAGAATGAAAACAGGCCAGTTAGCCAATCATGATGAATTCATCAGGAATTAACCATGATAGTTTCCAGGGGAAACCGCGAGGAGGTTATCCTGGTTGGGTATATTGTTAGCAATGGGATTCTTAGTCTTCATTACTAACAATCCCTTTTCCCCCTTAACGCCATATGGTGTTAAGTCCACCATTTAAACTATCTAGGTGTATTAAAATAAAATAATGGTTCCATATTGTTCTGATAAATGCATATTAGTTGGCTAATGCAAAACATTGCAAATGGATCCCAATTCTAACCTAATTCCTAACTATCGTTCCATGAGCGCAGTATAAAATTGTCATTGGCAATAGATTGGATTGATCTCTCTCTCTCTTCGTCCACTTCATTACTGAAGCTTGTGTCCTTGAAAGGTGTCTGTTGCCTCTCTTATGATATTCCTCCATTTCGCACGGTCTTCAGCCTCGCACAGGGCAGCTGCAATTGGTTAAATCCAAGGGTTACTCAGTCCGACCATCGACTTGGCTATCGTCCGCGTGGTCTTTTCCCCTCTATCTTGCCTACAACCATTAGTTTGTCCAGATTGTCGGACTGCCGTCGAGCAATATGACCGAAGTATCATCCTCCTCCGATAGCAGACTGTCGAGTGCCTATCTTTTATGCGGAGTTGGTATTGGATTGATATTGATATTAGATTTAAAAGTAGAACTGTTTTTTTTTTTTTATTTATAGCTTTTATATTTTATAATTATTTTCTGCATCAAGTTAATTTTTATTTTTTTATGGAATTAATTTAATATTTTCTATTCGACTATCACGATGATTGAAAACACGTCTGATGGTAAAAGATTACTGCTATAGCCTACAATGGCAGGGTTATCGCGAGTTTATTATACCAGAAAAACTATTTAATTGTAGGTACTATTCTAATCTAATTCTGGGATAGAGCTGGCTGGAAGAAGATGCATGAATTAGTTGCACCGACAAGAGGAAACTCTTAAATGAAAAGAAGAAGACTATTCTAATTATAAAGATACCCACGCTGCAATCTTTGAGTTAAGGATGACTTTGAAATTTTCTTTCTTTTAGATTCTTGCTTCTACGACTTTCGTACAAAGTCTCCCTTACCTTACCTTACCTTGATGATTAACAACTCAACCAATCGTCGCGAAATTTAATATACATATGCTATACGAATACAATATGGTAAAGACATAAGCAATTGTTTTATCCCGATTTATTAATACATCATGATCATATGGACGAAGTAACGGGTTAAGTCTAGTAATTATATAATTTTCACATCTGGGAAAAGCTTGGTAGAGACATGGCGTAGAATACAATGTTATATTACAAATATAACACCCGGAAAGGAAACCGGAACATTCGATCCGAAGAATTGTACAAATTATCTTCTCCGAAACACCGCCGGGGAAAATGAATTCTGAGTAACTCCCAACAGCATAGTCGACTACAAATATAAATTACGAGTATAATGTAAATTGTACTAATAATAAATACATTTGTCTGCACATTTCCGTGTGGTGATTGAGTAGGAATGTCACACCGCTGCTCTTCATCATGAGAGTATCATAAGAGAGGAGTAGTTACATAAAGGCTGCTGAGAAGACTAGCACGAAGAATGTGATGCATTTTTTTTTATGCAAATTAGAAAAGCAAACAAGCTGATGGCCCACCTGATGGAAAGTGGTAACCGTCGTCTATAGACATGAACAGTATTATGGATATAGCAGAGTATATTGAGTATATTGCCCATGATACCTCCAAGTCGTTGCCATTCTTGAGGACTCAGGTGTTGACGTTTAAAAATCTAGGGAACAGAGAGAGAATCCTCTTACCAGAGGGAGACTTTGTACAAAAGTCGATCGCTTGTGTACCTCTGTCTCATTCGTGTTTCTACCGTGAAGCAGTTGTGTTTGCATGGCTGTGTTTCGATTTGAAGGCTAGGATATGTCGTGAATTTACTGGGTACAGAGGAATAACACAACACACAAGCCTATGAAAACGTGTATACCTCGAGCACTCATTCATTCACTGTCGCTCAATGGCTCTAACTATAGCCATTCTTTTAATAGAATCATTCACATTATCGATCTCGACGATAACTCGTACACTTTTAAATCCATTCGGATTAATCGAATCGGTTTCTACGAACTAAATTACGTGTACTACTGTTTACTCTCATATGTATGGCATTTTAGAATAGAATGACAAATAGACATATAATTATATTACTTTAGGGTACATTAACTACGCCAAATCTGTTTTACAGCCGTTTATGGTCTGGCGTAATGTCACCCCTTCCTTTCTTGATAAAAAGTGGAAGAGATTGAAATGAGTCCCTCTCAAAACATCACCAAAGCGTAATCTTGCCAGCCCGCCTGCCAAGGGTGGCAACTACTGTCAGAACCTTCAAGGGGAGGCTTATGTTCAGCAGTGGACAGTTTAAGGCTGATATGGTAATGATGTTTTACAGCGTGAAAGAGGTCAATGACCGGTCATGCCTCCTTAATTATGCCAAATCTCATATATAAGCAGAAAGGGAGAACAATATATACCTCACGTCTACTTTTTTTTTCTCGAATGAATGAATGAAAAATAATATACAAAAGTCGATTGCTTGTAATGTCCCATTCGTGTTTCAACCGTGAAGCAGTTGTGTTTGCATGGCTGTGTTTCGGTTTGAAGGGTGGGATATGGCGTGAATTTACTGGGTACAGAGGAATAACACCTGAGTCCTCAGGAATGGCAACGCATGGGGGGTATCATGGGCGAAACAGTATACTCTGTTATGTCCATGGTATTTTTATAGGCGATTTGATACCACTTTCCATCAGGTGGAAGTTTATTTGTTTTAGTTGTATAAAAAAAAAAAAACAATATAGGAAATAAGCAAGACAATTTGTTAATGTAAATATAAAATGTAAATTAAATTAACAAGTGGTATAAATGGAATAGTCCCAATGGAAGATGGACATAACGTGTACATATGTATGTAA